GGGAAGGGGAGAGAATGACCTTAAGGAACCCCGGCTCATGTGGTTATGGAGTGGTGACAAGCCCAGAATCTGTAGGGCAGGCCAGCAGGCTGGAACTCAAATCGGAGCCCATGCTGTAGTGTTGACTCCCCAAGACCCACAAGTTGGAATCCTAGACAGGATTTCTGTTACAACCTTAAGGTAGAAGTCCTCTTCTTCATCTTCTCCTTCCTACTCCTAATCCTCCTTCTCCTCCTTTCCCTTCTCCTCCTCTTTCTTCCCACCCTCCCCTCTTCCCCTTTCTTTTCTTCCTCTTCCTCTTCTTCTTCTTGGACCTCTTAGTCTTTGCTCTTCAGACCTTCCATTGGTTGGATAAAGCACACTCACATTATGGTGGGTAATCAACTTTACTCAAAGCCTAGTGACTTGTAGCAATCACATTAAAAAAAAAAAAACCTTCACAGCCACATCTAAGCTAGTGTCTGATCAAACAGCTGGGCACCAGCCAAGTGGTGACAATAAAACTAAGCCTCACAATGACTAACCGTTTATTCCTGCAGTTAGTTAGTGCAACCTTTGGTATATCAGCTCTCCACAGAGTCCAGACAATTGTCTTTCTCCCCTGGAACAAGAACTACTTGACTCACTCAGAAATTTGCATTTCTTCTTTCCATGGAAGAAAAAAAGCAAATGAAGAGAGAAGTTTCAGTGACTCTGTTCTCAGTGTGCTTGTTTGCTGTCTGCGTGCCCATCCTAACTCAGGAACGGCCTCCGTGGACCTGAGAGAAACAGCCCTCTGCAGCCTGCCCCAGCAGCATCAGCAGGGTTGTCTCAGGAGGTGTGAGACTCCAGACAGTCTTCTCTTTGGGAGTCTGCATATCTCAATCATAGACAGCCTTGGCCTCCAAAGAAAACCGTGGAAGCACAGCAGTAACACAGCTGGCGAGAGACCAGCAGCTGCCTCAGGGCAGCAAGAGTCCACGTGTCACAGGGACAGGTGTCACCATGGACTCAGCCCTCTCCTTCAGCCTGAGGAGAGGCTCAGCAGTTGGCCCTCCCGGGTACACAGAAAGCAAAGCCCCATGCCCCCCTCGTCCTCATCACAGCCATCTTGCTGCACCCAACACCTCATTTTTGTCTTCTACCAACTTGACTTCAGAGCCATGCCCGTAGAGTGGCACATG